AAATGTTATGCCATTCAGTTGGGCGTTCGAGAAGTCCCCGCATCGACGGCTGGTTCCTATAATTGAAGAAAAACAAATGTTTGGAAGACACATGGTCGACGGAAGGGAAGTAATACTTTAAAATTTAAATGACAATTTTCACACTAATTAAGTTCACAGTAGCAGCATGAATAATTAACCGTAAATATGTAAATTTCATATAATGGTAATTACTGTCTCTTCAGATGGAGGTAGTGTGGGGCAACGTGTATCGTCGCTAGTCCCTCCAATTGCCTTCTGTCGTTTAGCCCGGCCGCCATACCGGTCCCTCGATCCATGAAACCAATCAATGACAGTCTTGCGAACCATTTCGTGGCCGCAATCACCAAAGATAGGGTTCAAGCGAATGGCATCTGAAGTGTTAACAAATGAGGAAAGCTTACCACATAGGAGTGCATATAATGGACTACCGACAAAGGATTGTTTTCCCACTGAGCCACTCCAACAGTAGTCACGGCAAAGGGGTGGTCCTAGCAATTTACTGAGGATATTCCTCACAAACTCTTTGTTGTTACGCCCGCCAACTGAAACAAGTTGTTTCATCTATAACTCGTGGAGAGTAAATAAAGCTGCATATTTGCATACCACTTCTTCTCGAAAATCGGCATCACGGTTTAGCTTCCCTTCGAAGTCTTCGTAGGCGTCCTTCGTGCATAGCGGTAAGGGCAGTGCGGGAGGCCTTTGACCGACAAGGACGGTGGAGGCATGTATTTGCCCAAGTTTTTCAACCATGAGGGCGCAATGTTGTCGAAATTCCTCATGATGGACCGTCTGATTATGGACTAATTTGTCTAATTTTTTACTAAACAAATCTACTCCAACGGTATACAACATGCCCTTACCGCACAGATTTCAATTCTCTTTGTATTGATTTTAATATTTCACTCTGCGCCACAGAAGTATCCTTTTCCGTTTGCAGTCTGAAATGGATAATAAATATAACCTGCTTACTGAAGTGAGGGGACTACTGAAGGTGAAAACCTGCCCCATCC